TGCTAGATAAAACACATCTATCAGCAAAGGTTTAGAAACAAACATTTATACCAAGGCTGTTTAAAACTTGGCAGCCTTGGTGAATAGTAACTAACAGTGACGAGGAGAGAACATGGAAATGCAGAGCAATTTAATAACATATTGTCTCCAAACAATTTTTTAAAAAGGTTGTTTCAACTGTTAAGGTAGACACAGCCAGCGCTCAGATCAATGCAGCATGAAGTGGGAACCATCAGCGTCCCATAGAACCAGGTTTAGTTCCCTGGCATAGATTTTCCCTAACTTTTGGAATATAACCAATGTTTAATTAATCTCCTATTTCACTCTGCAAGAACAGTGCACTTACTGGCCACTTCTCATCACTTCCCAATTAGCATACTCAAATCCACCTATGCTTCCACGGTCACTAAATTAACCATTTCGACCACTCAGTTAACTTAGCTATTTGTGATGTTTCTATCATACTTGAACTTCACAGAAACATGCATGCTAAAATTTCAGATGAGCTTCCATTCCTCAGTTTATCTGTCTCTAACAATACCTGCCTCACAGGGGTAAAGGGAATATTGTATGCAAGGTGCCTTGTATGTACTAGGAGCTCAATGACGGTTAGATTCTTCTGGAATCTTTCTCAGTGAGCTGAATCTCCCAGGCCATGCTCTCTGGCCACTGACTCAGATGCAACAAATGTTATTGTACATAGCTTAAACCTTTTTCTTGTACACATCCTACCTTTGAATCTCCTTGAGGACAGGAACCACGCATATTCACACCTTCCTTTTTATACCCCAGTGCCCAGCGTGTCAGCAAATGTCAGTGCAACCGCTTCTGTTCTGGTGAAGGAGCTCAGGGAGGGTGAGAACAGGGCCATCATCTGTCATTAAGAGAGTGGGCCAGTTTTGTCCAGGTGGGCAAATAAAATCAAGATTAGTTTTCAATTCCTTAAAGATTTTGTCACTGAAAGTTTCACAGGGGCATCCCATGAAGGGGAGAATATTTGGGTAAGTGACTAGCTCCAGAAAATCTTGCTATGCATATTAAAGACAAGGACAGTATGAAAGTCCCACTAATTTCAAACCCATCCCAAGTCCTAGCTCTAAGTGCCTCCTGATGCTCTAAGTTACTGCATGCTTTCCACATCCGAATACTTAAAAGAAATTTCCCAGGCAAAAAGTCACCATTCAAATAGCTCATAATGAATAAAAGCTGTGGGCATTTATTTGCTAACCATGAACTTGATTTAAGAAAAGTATTTGTGCTAGTTACATTGTAGTTCGAGGGGAAGGGAATATTTGATTCAACTAAGATGTTATTTACATAAATGAGGGAAAAAGTTAACTGAACCAAACAAAAATCAAGGGTTTTGAAAGACACTGAAATGTAGCTTTGAGAGCCAAGATTATTTTATAAGTAGCAGAAATACAAAACTTGCTCCGATAACTAGGGGGGAAATTAAATATGATAAAACTCTACCCTCTAATGTTCATAAATCATTAATAAACAAAAGTCTTTCTTCGTAATGAAACTACAACAAAAGAAGCAAGGTACTAAAATATTATACCTCCCTTGTTTGCTTTGATATGATACAAGACAACTGCTAATAGATTACCTAAACCTTTTTATAATTCACGTTTCCAATATATTTCCATACATGTAATACATAATGCATACATTTAATATTTAGTTTTATATTTCATCACTAATTTTAATTGCACAATTTTACATTATGATTATATCATTTCAAATCTTTTTTTAAACCATGTGCAAGAGACTATACCAGAATACACACAAATGAAAGTAACTGAACCAGGTAGTGAGACTAATTTTAAGTGACTTTTGAAGAGTTAATAACTGAGAATTTTCCAAAATTGGTAAAAGGTATCAATCACAGAGTCAAGAAGCCCGACGAATCCCAAGCAGGATGAGTAAATAGAGGTACACACTTAAGCAAGTTCTAATAAACCTGCTTAACAAACCAAATATAGAGAAAAAATATTAAAATACTCCAAACTAATAAAAGACAGATTACCCTCAATGGAGTAATAATTAGACTAATAGATTTCTGAATAGAAATAATAGAAGCTAGAAGTGAAAAGAAATGTCATATCACACTGATAAAAGAAAATAATTTTACACTGGGTAAAAGTATTCATCAAGAATGACATTTTCAGAGAAACAGAAATAAAATAATTTTGTACCAGCAGACTAACACTTAAGGAAATGCTAAATGGAGTTCTTCAGGCAGGAGGAAAATGATCTCAGGTATAAAGTCAGAAATACAGGGAGTATTGAAGGGCAATGATACTGTAAATATGTGGATAAATTAGGCAATAATGATTATGTGTTGGGGGCTAAATAAAATGCATGACAACACTGCATAACTTTCCAGAGAGGGCAAATTGAGGTAGTGTCCTGAGGTTTTGTAATTATCTGCAAAGGCAGTAAAAGGAGCAGGTAACATCAGGCTTTGAAATATTAAGAATCATGCTGTGACCTTTATTTAATATAATTCCTGAAAGAGGAACAAGAAATGTGTAATTATCACATTAGTAGAGGAGGAATGCAGACTACTAAAATCTGTTACATCAGATCAAAGTAAGGTAAGAAATGAGAGAGGAACATAACACAGGGTACCAACAGAAAGAGAATATTAAGGTATCAGATTTAAATCCAAACATGTAAGTAAATATATAAATGTAAAAGGCTACATATTCTATTTACGATTAAGATGATCAAACTTTATTAAAAACCAATTTATGCTATTTGCAAGAGACATATTAAAACATAAGGACAAGATGAGTACTGGGTTTATTAGGTCATCACTTTGTAAGTTACTTAAATGTCTAATCACTATGTCGTACACCTAAAACCAATGTAATATTGTATGTCAGTAATTGATAACTTAAAAAAAATTTAAAAACATAAGGACAGAAAGACTGAAAGTAGAATCATAGAAAAAAATAAACCATGCATTCAGTACAAAAAGAAAGATTGTAAGTTATAGTAGTATCAGACTTTAAGATAAAAAGCACTACCAAAAAATGACACTTCATAATAACAATTCAATTCACTGAAAAATAATATTAGATTTTAAATACAAAAATTCACACACTGACAAGGAAAAATAGACAACCTATAGCCACAATAAGAGATTTTAACATGCTTCTCTCAGTATCTCATAGTGAGCCAGTAAAGATTCAATAAGAATAGAGCTATGAAATGTATGATTGACAAACTTGATCTAACAGAATACACAGAATACTGAATCTAACATGGCAGAATTCCAACACTGATCAGGTCCAATGTCATAAAACAAGTTTCTACACATTTTAAAAGAATGAGATAATACAGAGTATGTTGTCTCATCACACATACTCTGTAATGTTGTGTGAAATATTGGAAGGTTTCCCCGTGGGATTGGGGCTAACACAAGTTCATTAGTTTCCTAGGGCTATCAAAACAAAGGACCATGAACTGGACCACTTAAAAAAACAGAAATTTATTGTCTCACAGTTCTGGAGACTAGAGGTATGAAGTCAAGGTGTTGGCAGGGCCATGTTCTCTCTGAAGGCTTTAGGAAAGGATCCTTCCTCTCCTCTTTGTAGCTTCTGATGGTTGCCAGCAATCTCTGGCATCCTCTGGTTTAAGGACACATCACTCCAATCTCTTTGTCTGTCTTTCCATAGTGTTTTCTTCTGTGTGTATCTTTGTCTATCCTCTTTTTATAAGGATACAAGTCATACTGAAGTAGGGAGCACCTGCTCCATCTCAACTTGATTATATTTGTAAAGACCCTATTTCCAAATAGGGCCATATTCACAGATACTGAGGTTTAGGGCTTCAACATATTTTTTTTGGGGGGGGGACAAAATTTAATCCACAAAACAAGGACTCTCACTATTGTCACTTCCTTTGGTACTAAAGGTCCCAACCAATGCAATAAGGCAAGAAAAAGAAATAAAAGATATAAAGATTAGAAAGGAAGAAATAAAACTTATTATTCATAAAGGATATAGTTAACTATACAGAAGAATCTTAACAGATAAATCATTAGAATACATTTTTAACAAAGTTTATACATTCAAGATTAATTTAGTAAAATCAATTTTACTAAAATAAACAGTAAAATGAATGTTTAAAAAAGTATAATTTATAAAAGCATTGAAAAACACCTTGAAATCACTCTAACAAAATATGTGTAAAGCCTTTAGGCAGATAACTATAAAATTTTGAGAGAAATTAAAGAAAACCAAAATAAATGGAGGAATATTCCATGTTCATGAATTGGAAGACTCAATATCACAAATATGCTTTCTTTCCAAAATAATCTATAGATACAGTGCAATGCTAATCAAAATCCCAATTTATGGAAAGTAACAAGCTGCTTCTCAAGTTTATACAGAAGGTCAAGAACAGCCAATAATCTGTTGAACAAAGTCAGAGGACCTGTACCTTTAAATATGAAGACTTATTATAAAGCTATTTTCATTAAGACAATGTGGTGTTGGCACAAAAACAGACAAATAAACCAGTGTTACAAGGTAGAGGGCCCACAGACCCACACATATATGGATACTTTTCCCACAAAACAAGAACCATCACAGAGCAGTGAGAAGATTGTGCTGGGACAATTGGATATTCTTATGGAAAAAAGAAAAAGATGCACCAAGAGTTACCCACAAAAATCCCCCATGAATTTCACAAGCATATATTTGAGCAAAAGAATATAGCATACTATAAGATTCCACTCATATACAGTTAAAAGTAAACCACAGTGTAAGAATTCATGATTGTGGTTAATTTGGGGGGGGAAAAAGTGTTAGTAATTGAGAGGTGGTACAAGAGAAGTTCCTAAAGAGCTGACAAATAGTTCATTTCTTAAGGGGGGTGGCTTCTAGTTGTGTTTGTGATAATTCACTGATATGTATATTTTGTGCACTTCCATTCATTTTTATCAATCTTCCCAATGAAAAAATTTTTAAAAATTAGTTAGACAGGTATTTGCATTCATTTAACAAATATTTATCTAAAAATTACTATATATCAAGCATTTTACTAAATCTAGATCATCAAAAGGAATAAACAGCTCTTAGAGTTATTACTGAACTCTGATAGGAAACAGACAAAACAATTACAATAACAAATACAGGTAAATACACAGAATCACTCAGTGGGATAAGGGCTCTGATATCCTTAGCTTGCTACAAAAGGGGGACTCTTTCTTTGTTGGGGTTGGGGGTGATGAAGATAGACATTAGATCCTTCACTGGACTGAACTATCAAAATAATTCAGAAGTGTTCTGTCCACCCCTCAAAAGTTGAGGTTACTCCTTTTGCATATATATTAGTCCCAACGTAATTTTAGATCTACTCTTAGTTGCACATAAAAATCCTATCTGCTTACCTGAGAAAAATCTTGGCATGAAAGTCATGACACCAGCTCCTAAGAAAACCAAGAGAGTACTATTACTAACTTGCAGTTAATTTTTGGAGCTATTATTCTAAAATAAAAAAGTTTCGAAGTCCTAATTTAAAAAGTATTGAGGCTGGGTTTTTTAAATCCTCCCTCGAGGATATGTTTTCATTGATTTTTAGAGAGAGAGGAAGGGAGGGAGAAAGAGAGAGAAACTGATTGGTTGCCTCCAGTATGTGCCCAACAGGGGATAAAACCCACAATCTAGGTATGTGCCCTGACCAGAATCTAACTGGAACCCACAACCTTTGGTGTAGGGAAGGATGCTCTAACCCACTGAACCACCAGGCTAGGGCAAAATAGCATTATTTTAAAATAACATTTTCTTGATTATAAGATAGTTACATTTTCTTGATTATAAAAGTTTTGAGCCCTGGCTGGGTAGCTCAGTTGGTTAGAGCCCTCCCCATAAGCCAAGGTTGCAGTTCCAGTCCCCATCAGGCCACATACAAGAAAGCAACCAATGAATGCATCAATAAGGGGAACAATAAATCAATCTCTCTCTCTCTCTCTCTCTCTCAATTAATCAATAAAAACTTTTTTAAAATACTTGATTATAAAATACTTATATCTTAGAAACCAGAAAATTACAACAAAAACAAAAATCCATAATTCTATCACCATAGCTACTGTAAATGTTTTGATGCATCTTTCCATTTAAAAAAGTCCTTTATTTTCACAGTTGAGATCAGAATTTCTGTGTGATTTCTGCATTCCCGTGCCATTACATAATCTTCCTACACATTATTCTGAAATTTGTAAAAACTATATCCCCAGATTGAATCACCGCCACGAGAGGTCATTCATCATGTGCAACCCGGTCAACCCGTCTGCGGGTCCCGCAGTTCGCGCGCCGCCCCGCACTTAGCTGCGGGCTCTGCGCAGCACCGGCACCCGCAGCTGCCGCGGGGCCTGCTCTGAGGCACCCGAGG